CAAAAAAAAAAAAAAAAAAAAACACATCATAGTAAAATTAATACCTTCTCAGCTTCGCATCGAAGCTAATATACCAAATGATAGGTAAAACCGTCATGCATCTATAAAAAAAAGAATTATATTGATCTATACATCTTTAAAAAGTTATAGCGTTAACCATGAAAACAAAATTAAGTCCGAAATTTTTTTTTAATATTAAATTTTATTACATAAGCTTTAATTTAAGATATATATAACAGTGTCAGTATTTTCGGAACACTTTCAAAAGTTAAGTTGAAAAAGATAATTTTATGTAATAAAATTGTCGTTTTGAATTCCCCTTTGGGGCAGGTAAAGGGTCAAATTTCTTAAAAAAATAAATCAAATGGTAAGTAAAGAAAAAAAAATTATAATGATTCGGTCATTTTTAAAAAAGTTATGGCAATTTTAAGTAAAAAAAAATGAAAAAATATCGAAAATTAGCGATTTTTAAATTTGTAATTTCTTTGGAGGTTTCCCCAATTTACGGGGAACGAGGGGAATTTTTTCAATTTTTGAGGGTATAGTCTTCGACTAGATACAATTTGTGATCTTTAGATGTATTGTTGAAAGAAATCGGTTCAGTGAGAGCTGAGAAAAAGTGGTAACAGACACAAAAAAAAAATGTAAAATATAAAATCGAAAATTTTTACACAAAAATAGCATATGGTAGCTATTTTCATGGTGAAAACAAAATTAAGTCCGAATTTTTTTTTTAATATTAAAAGTTAATTTTTTGTGAAAAATTTGTCATTTTGAATCCCCTCCTGTGGGCTGGTAAAGGGTTAAATTTATAAAAAAAATATACCAAATGATAGGTAAAGACATCATGCATCTATAAAAAAAAAAAATTATATTGATTTGTTGATTTTTGAAAACGTTATGGCAGTTTTAAGTAAAAAAATTGAAAAAATTTCGAAAATTTAACGATTTTTAAATTTGTAAATTTTTTGGTGGTTTCCCTCATTTACGGGGAACGAGGGAAATTTTTTCAATTTTTGTGGGTAATGACTTCGACTAGATACGATTTGTGATCTTTTGACGTATCATTGAAAAAAATCGGTTTGGTGAGATCTGAGAAAAAGTGGTAACAGACACAAAAAAAAAAAAAAACCCATCACAGGGGGGTCGCGGCACAGTGGTGACGTGGCATAGTTGGATCAAGTATAATGATATCTGATAGTGATTAAAATCACTATCAAAAATAAACGCTTCGATGCAAATCTTTAGATAGTGTTTAATTTTAAAAAAATTGGTGTTTTATTCCAAAAGCTACTTGATCTGCTGGTTCCTTATTAATATCTCGATTAAGATAAAGTATGTCGAATGAAAAAGGGTTTATTAAAAAATATTATTTCTCATAAAAAAATTGTGTGGATCCATAAACTTTTCAATAAGTTATAGCATTATAAAGTTAAATATAATATAAATAATAAAATCGAGAATTTTCACACGAAAATAGCATTCGGTAGCCATTTTCGCCGTGAAGACAAGTCCAGAGGTCAAATTTTTTTTTTTCAAATTAAAGTATATTACATTAGCTTTAATTTAAGATATATATAAAAGTGTCAGACCTTCCGGAACATTTTCAAAAGTTAAGTTGAAAAAGTTAATTTTTTGTGAAAAAGTTGTCATTTTAAATCCCCCCCTGTGGGCAGATTAAGTGTCAGATTTACAAAAAAAATATACCAAATGATAAGTAAAGACATCAAGCATCTATATAAAAAAGAATTATATTGATATGTTCATTTTTGAAAAAGTTATGGCACTTTTAAGTAAAAAAAATTGAAAAAATTTCGAAAATTAGCGATTTTTAAATTTGTAATTTTTTTGGAGGTTTCCCCCTTTTACGGGGAACGAGGGAATTTTTTTCAATTTTTAAGGGTAATGTCTTCGACTAGATACGATTTGTGATCTTTTGACGTATCATTGAACGAAATCGGTTCGGTGAGAGCTGAGAAAAAGTGGTAACAGACACAAAAAAAAAAAAAAAAAAAAAAAAAAAAAAAACACATCATAGTAAAACCAATACCTTCTCAGCTTCGCATCGAAGCTAAAAGGTATAGTTTTTAAACGCATTTTTAAGTTTTGAACCTACCCAGTATAAAGGGAAATGGTTCGATTTAATAAAAAAATGTATGTCAGATGAAAGGGACATATAAAAAGTATTTATTAAAAAAAAATTCTATTGATCCATACATTTTTCAGAAAGTTCTAGCAATATAAATTTAAAAATATAAAATCAAGAATTTGTTCATAAATATTGCGCATTTTTCTTTAACTTTGATGTTCGTTTACACTACAAAGACAAGTCCAGAGGTCAAATTGTTTTTTTCAAATTAAAGTATATTACATGAGATTTAATTTGTGGAACGGTGTGGCCGAGTCGGTAATGCCCTCACGTTCAAAATTCGGTCACGGGCGGCTTCATTTGCCAAGCCAGAGATCATTTCGAGAGCAGAAATTACCTTCTCAGCTTCGCATCGAAGCTTAATCACAGTGGATATTTAACCAAACTACTTTGTTAAAATCCGATTAGATGTCAATTTTATAGTTATGAAAAATTGTTAGAGTACCAAAATTTCGGTAGTTATAACTAAACGTTTTGTCAATATTACAAACAAATTGTTGTCGAACGGATTTTGTATAGATAATAGTATTATTTGTTATTGTAGCGAAAATCTTTGTATTTTCAACAATCTGATAAAACTTACAATATTTTCGGTAGTCAGAACCATATAGTTCGTTTCTATATTAAAAAATATTAATAACTTCCAAAGTACTATTTCAAAAGTTGTTATCGTCCGGTCATTTTCTTAATGGGTTTGCTATCTTATAAGCTAGTTGAAAATGTGTTACATTGAAAATATTAAATTGTCAACCTTATAGGGTATTTATTTTTAACGTACTCTCTGAAAAGCTATTCTTGTGTAAAAAAAGATGGGAAAACATACATAACCTAACGCAACAGAACACCTACCTACCGAGGCATGACTCGTTCTCCACTCAGCTAATCAGACCGCTATCAAATAAATTCAAATAAGTATATGGAACACTTATTCAAATTCTGTTAAGTTATTAGTAAAATGTAAGGAATGTTTCACGCCAATTTTCATTTTACAGGTTGATATATATTTTTTTAATAAATTCATCGATACTTTTGAAAATGAGAATGAGAAACTACACGTGAGAGTTCTTTAAGGGATTTTTTACTTTCATTAAATTGGTGTTAATAAAATAATGCAATATAGATTTATTAATTATGATATTTGACCAAAAATTTAGTAATTTAAGTTATTAAAAAAAAATGTTTGGTCAATTTAAGTGATGGTGCAGATAATCATTCTGTCGTCGCTTTGACGCAGTTGTTCAGTTTCATACTTGCAGTTAATTCTCGGATCGTCTCCATCCGGCAACTTTAACAGTGACACACACCTTGCCCCTTTACTGGCTCCTTCAGTTGTAATGAGGTTGCGTCAGATCGACAATCGGTGTAAAAATCGTGTAAAATCAAAAAGATAAAGTCAACCCTAAATAGCAGGGATAGATGATTTTTAGTCAATTAACTTAAACCGTAATGAGTGACAATAAAAATCAATTTTCATATACAAATGTTTATTTATTTTTATATGCAGAACAAAATTACTCATTAAAAACGAACAATAGTTTTTTCGAGCAATACATAATTTAAACGTAACATAAATGAATAAATTTCTCTAATTATAACCATATAATTAAAAATTAGTGTATTTTTATTGTTTATATATGGAGATCTTAATTAATAAAAACAGATTATTACTTAAAACTTAAATTGAATTGTTTTATCCAATATTTTTTTTTAATTGTTATATAAACTGACTCCTGTCTCCTCGTTATATATGAATCCAAGGTTGATGTATTTTTTTTCAATAAATTCATCGACACATCTGAGAATGAGTGCAGAATGATAAGCTAAATGTACGATTTCATCTTTAGTTTTTTCAGTTTTATTCGATTTATTTCGATACTTTAAATCCAAATCATCATTATCATTAAACACAAGATTATTTGGTTTTAATTTACAATATGAATTTATACATCTTTCAGCAAAAAAATAAGTTTTAGATAAAATGTCGTTAACATTTATGTATGATTTATGCATATCGTTATAATTTGGTTTGAATTCAAATTTATTAAATTCTAACAACATTTTACTAAAATGTCTTAAGAATGACTTTTCGACACATAGCTTTAAATTGTTTATGAATTGTAATGCGCTTAAAAATCGTTTTGTTAGCGTCTTCAATTTTGTGAGAGATAATTCCAAGGTTTCTATATATTGCTTTTGAGTTTCTGAACATGCTTTCCTATGGTTTGTATCAAAATAAGAGTTTAACATCAATAACAAATTAACAAGCCAGTGTACAGTTCTTGCGTATTTATAACTTATCAATTTCGATGCTTTTGATCATTTTATTTCTACGTTCAGTAACAATATTCTCATTTTTAGAATCAATTATGAGTAAATCTTTTGTATCTGGATTAAGATGATTATAATACGTGTTTTCATTGTCGTATGTTCATTTTTCTACCTTAAGAAGTGAATTCAATATATCAACAATGTTTGTCTGATTACACGATGTCGATAAAAAAACACTGAATAAAATAAACGGAAATGTTACAATAGTAAACGATTTCATGATATTTGTAATAATAACAAAGTTGAAAAGTTAATTTTTAATTTTTTTAAAGAACTATTAAAAATGATACTTTTAACTGTTTTTTGCTACTTATAAGAGTTTTAAAATCATCAATTATGTAGCAATTGACATCATATTAATGTTAAGATAAATAAAAGTGATTTATTTTATGTATTTGCTGTAGTATTATTATAAATTTATACGATATGAAATCATATGATTTATTTTATTATTTTATGAATATTTTAACATTGAGTATTTTAGCTTCGATTCAAACCTTAGAATAAATTGGTTTTGAAATGGTGTATAATTATAATTATAATTTATATAATTTTTAAGACTTTTTTTTAGCTTCGATGAGAAGCTGAAAAGGTACTGGTTATGTGATTGATGGTGTATGTTTTTAGGTCTTTCCATAAATATTCTCAGCTCTCACAGGATAAATTTTAATAATTAATACGTCAAAAGAACCCAATTTTAATCTAGTTAAACGCATCATCATTTAAAACTGAATAAACCACCTCAAATTTACAAATTTAGAAAATTATCTCAAAATTAATCAATTGTAGATAATGCAATTTTCAAATTTTTATTTCTGAATTTAAAAACTACTATATCTTATTTAAAAAACACTGATTATAATGAAATTAAAACCGAATAAATTATAGACAATAAACATTCTTTGGATTTACTTTTTATGAAAAAACAATATAGGAAGGAATTGAAAAATACCTCTCATGCATGTAAACATTTTTTTTTCTATTTGACTTTTAAAAAGTTTCCAAAAAGTCTTATAAGTTCTAACCTATATCAAATTAAAGCTTTTAAAATGTATTATAATATTTAAAAAATAAATAATTTGAATCTAATTATAGTGTAATTTAGTTTTAAATACATAATAAATGTATTTATAATTTAATTTTTGATGTAAATATTGGCTATTGTATTGGTTATTTTATTGTAAAAACAATGTGAGTTATTGATCCTATTATCAATATTGTATTATATATTTACAAAACTATATTTCAAATTAATTTTTCGAATTTTTATATTTTTAATTAGTCGATAATATAGATATTGGAAGGTCAATCGGATAAATCAATTACTGAAAGAATTAGAAGAAAATACCAGTGATACTTATTTGATATTTCCTAAAATACCAAGATGAAAGATCATGATTTTGATATTAATTACCAGCATAGATTAAAAATGAATTCGGGTTCATCTCAAATTTTATTAGCTTGGTTATTATTAGTGACAGAGTTTTTCTGATTTAGTTTTTTATTTTGCTCATCACTTTTATTATGATAAGGATATTTATTAAGGCTCATCTAGAGGTACCGCCCTAGAGTCCATATAGGTCTTAATCCGGTCCTGTCAGTATAAGAAGAGAAACAATTACAGGTGTTAAGATGATGTTAATTAGCTTAGGTGAACAGGAAATTAAAAGATGGTCCAATAACTACTAAAAATTATTTTCAACAATTATTTAAAATTAAAACATGGGATATGTTGACAGAGCTGATATAATAATGTCAACTAAAACATTGACCGCATAAATAAAAAATGATACATGCAATTTTTAAAAAAATGTATTTTTGCCAATTGAATAATTTTTTTTGAACTGTGCGATTTTTTTTTTTTAATTATCCTTTGGTAGCATCTTCTTATATTCAAAAATAGCCGAATAAAACTAATACATTTTGACAAATAAAGACTGAATATAAATTATAATAAAAGTATATTTTACACAATTTTGAGTACATATTGTCTACTTACAATTTTGCTTATTAATTAACATTCACATTTTAATACTTATCTTACTTAATAGTTAATCTATTAAGATATTCAATATAAAAATATAAATTGAATAAATTAACATTTATAAAACAAATAATTTATAAAATCATATAAATTTAAACTTTAATGTCTTGTATTAAATATGATATTATGTTTATAATTGTATGAATATTAACATGAATAATATACAAAATAGGTAACGGTCACAAAAATATTTAAGATCTATTTTTAAAAAATGTATCTTAATAAAGAACGTCATCATAAAACATCATATTAAACATCAGGCATAACAAATAAAATTAAAGTTTTTAAAATTTATCATAAAAATAATTAACTTTCAAAGCGTTATTTAGAAGTCGTAGATAAAATAATTTAATTTGATCCGTTCATGGCTCTTTAGTTTATACAAATCCAATTAAAATTGATAACTTCAATTTTCGGAATTAATCAATTAATTGGCACGAAAATATGCACTTTTTTTTTATTATATGAAATAAACAAATTTTCCGATGACGTCTTCTTAATAACTTCCAAATTGAATTATGCTTATAATATTAACAAATTACCCTTAATTTTAACCGACCCTGAATTAAAATCAAAACAACGGGTTTATTTGTTACAAGTGAACAAATATAAGAATTAATAATTTTCACTGTTTTTAAATTCTGTTACTCTAGTGTGATGTGTGTCAATAACTAAAATAAAGTCAATCTAAGGTTCTTATAAATGAGTAGACTAAAATTATTTATGTAAATAATTAACAATTTACAATAATGTGTTTTGTCACATTTTTTTCTGTTTTTTTTTTCAGAAAAATATTGATTAATGATTTGCGTCATCTTTCTGTTTATCACAAATATGACAAATAAACAAAAGGATATATACCTATATATATGTTTTTAATCATATGAGGAGTCAGAGGAAACACTTTAGGAACATAGAAATGATAATTTATTTGTTATGTCAACTTTTAACAAAAATTAAAAAACAAAATATTTTTTTAAATTCAACTTTTAATCTATGATTTCTATCTGACCTAGTTAGTTACTAAATTATAAACATTATTTAAGTAATATTATATTATAATATTTTATTAAAATATTATAATAATAATAAAATAAAAATTCATGTATAATAAAAATACAGACTATACATATTTAATATAGCCTAATAATTAGGAAAAAATACTGCTACTGAATGACCTCGAGTATTTGAGTGAGTAATCCAAGCTGTGTTAGGATTTTGGTGGGGCGATATTTAACAGAAAGCAGATCACACTTCTCGTATCACAATACAGAAACATGTTGTGCTTTAGTACCAACAAATGGTTGTAGCTGCGCAATTGTATTGTAATATGTCAATGCTAATAGATAACAACTTCGGTATCGGTGAATCAAAATATGAAAATATTCAATAAAGCTAAACACATGATTTAACGCTAATGTATTACTGAAAAAAAACTTTTTATTATTACACTAATTTGTATACTTCAGTTTTATATGAAATTAAAAAAAAGTTTGGAAATGTAACGTGTTTGAAGTTATCTTTCCATAAATAATTGTTACCAAGTTTATTAGAAGACTGGCATGGCTAAGGATCCTTTAATTATAAATCATTTTGGTCAAAATTATAGATCTATTTCTAATACTAAGCCAGTTGTTGACATCGAACGCGAGGTAAGTAAAATTCCAATTTTATTAAAAGTACTTTAGTTAATAATATTAAATTTATAAACATTAAAATTGTTGAATAATAGCAGATACCTTTGGGATATCTACGGAATGATGGATCAGGGCTCAATGTATGGATGGCAGCTATATTTGTTGCTGGAGAAATGGCAGGTACTGGTGTTCTTGCGGTACCATGGGCAGTTGTAAATTCAGGTTTAAAATAACTGTTAAAATTTATATATATTTTTTAATCATTAAACTATGTTTACTATTTTTGTTATTGCTTATGACAGGTTGGGTTGGATTTTTATTGCTTATTGCTTTTGCAATAACTTCAGCTTATAGTGGATCAAGATTGGGTGATTGTTGGGCAATTTTAGAAGAAAGATATCCAGAATGCAAAGAAAGTTGTAAAAATCCATATCCTACAATAGCATTGTATGCTTATGGAAAAAAAACGAGGTAATAATTCCATACAAAAATTTCTTTAAATAATTTTCTTTTATTCAAAATAAATATTTACTTTAGTTATTTGACATCAGCTTGTATTCAGTTAACATTATTTGGAGCAGGAACTGTCTATTTGATGCTTGTTGCACAGATATTTCAACTGTTGTTGGAAAATATATTTCCTGATACAGGATTTTGTAGTTGGCTTCTTATATTTTCCTTGGCAATTAGTCCATTGATGTTTCTTGAATCACCAAAAGACTTCAGGTATTTATTTAACTAACAGTTAATTTAGTACTTCATTTTTGAAGTGGGTCTATGCAGAGAGTAAATTGAAATAAATGTATCATGTGTTTTGTATTATTAATTAAAAATTATTTTAATATAATTAAAATGACTATAAAAATATTGATACAACCTATTGCAGAAGTATTACTTTCATTTTTTTAATGGTATAATTGAATTTCCATGTTTAAGAAGTAAAGGCACAAAATAACTACAAATAAAACTTGAGAGCTGGTCAAAAACGGTACTCCATATTTTAAAATTAACAATTATGCTAGAAAAAAAATATATCCTTAATTTCTAAGTTTTATATAGTTTCTAGGTACATTGTGAAAATTTATAATTAACATAAATTTTGTATAAAAAAAAGGTTGATAATTGGAAATTTAATGATAAAACAACTGATCAGTGATATATTATATAAAAAAAAATCAAGACAAAAGATTTCCACTAAATGACAACATATTTAATTCCTTTTCATGTTGAATGTTCTTTTTTCAGTCCATATAAGAGCCATTATAAATTCAAATTTCATTCCCTTCAAGTTGTTTGTAGTAACAGTATAAAAGTTTTATAAAAAGAGATTTACACCCCCCCTTTTTTTTATAAACATTGCTATAATATATTGCTTAATTGAAATGTAAAACATTCTGATGTCTAAAAAATCTAAAATATGACTAATAAATAAGGTGTTGTCTTGGGAAGAGAGCTGTTACAGAAAATTTTTCACTGTCTTCTCCGATTGAAAAAACTGTACTTCTATCATAAAATGTTTTACTTTGGAGGAGTATCATATACCCATAACTCCTCTGTTATTAATTCAGCGACTTGAATTACATACAAAAATCAATTTTATTCTTTATTATTAAACAATTTATTATTTTTTCTAATAATAGTCATGAAAAAATTGTATGTATATAGTTCTGTTGCCATTGGAGCTGTACTCACTACAAGTATTGCCTGTGTGTTTATTTTTTGGCAAATTATAAGTGATGGAATCAGTAATCAAGAACCAGTATTACATCAAGGTCATACATTAGAACAATTTTTTCTGTCATTTGGTACAATTTTATTTGCGTATGGAGGAGCTTCTGCATTTCCAACTATTCAAAACGATATGTTCCAACGTGAAAAATTTCCAAAAAGTGTACTTATTGCGTTTATCAGTAAGTTAAATTTGGAAAAAACGTCTAGCTTAGTTTCTTTTTAATTGCAAAAGATACACCTTTACTAAAAATTAAAAATGTTTATTACTTCAAATCATATTGTAGTACTGAGTGCAAGAAGTTCAAGTATTTTGTTATTTGTTTCTAATAATAAAAGAAAAATAATACATTTTCTTTTTCAAAATTTTATATTGCTGTTTATTAGATATTTTCTTATAAAAAGTTTTGATGTTTTAATAACTATTTTAGGACGAGTTTTAAGTTACAAACGTTGTAATATATAGAATCAGTAGGTGGGTGGAGTAGTAAGCCTTATAAATATACCCCAATATGTATTGTACCCTCCTGCGCTACATACTTCTATGCATTAATATGCTTGTAACTTATTAAGTACTCATTCTGAAATTGTTTACAATTCAATCAAGTGGTATGTAAAAAAAGCTTTAATGAATGACTACTTTGAATTTTTGAAAAAAATAAAGAATCATTATTTTTATTATTAAAACAAATAATAAAAAATATGATTATAGCATAGTTTAATAATACATAAATTATATTTAAAAAATGAACAGAAACTATTAAGTAGAAAAGTTATTAGATTTTTCAAAACATTGTGAATTACTATGTATATACAAAGTGTCTTAGATCTAACTGATAATCTCTATAACTTTTAATATAATTATCATTTTGTTGACATTTTTTAAAATATAATTACTGTCTTCTAAGACATGTTTAAAGCATATTTTTTATTATTTATTATAATAAATATTAATATATTTATAATAAATTAATATATACATTTTTTAAAAGGCATCATATATATTTAACTTGTATACTTGTACTAATTTTTCTGAACTTGTTAAGATTTTATAGTGGTGGATGGAGGTTATATGTAGGTATTCTTCTTTTTATCACTAGTCATTTCCCAACTATACTCTTCCAGCCTAAGTATAAAAATAAGAATGATTTCCAAAGTACTGGTTCAAATGTTATTATCGACCATTTATTTACTTAATTAGATTGTTATCTATAAATTAATCTAGTTAATTATGTATTTTTCCATTTGAAAAACAAAGTTGACACCCATATAAGGTATAAGAGATGAACATAAACAAATATTTTAAGATTGATAAATTGAGAACAACATGTACCTAAAAGAAACCAAACAAAAATTTCTCAACATACTATTTATTTTTCAACAAATTAAGTGATTCATGGAAAATAAATTACCTTGTATATAAGATGTGTTACATGACAGTGATTCATGTGAGCTATTATGGCTCACCATTAGAGATCCTTTAGCCAAAATAGTTATATAGTATTATTTATTTTTAGTATTTATTTCAAGTAAAATTTGTATAAAGTAGCTTATACATTTAAACTATATTGAACTATGTAACAATAAAAAAATTTTGTAAATTTTTAATTTGTTAACAATTCTTATTAATGATTTAAGTTATATAAATCCTATTCATAATGTATAAATTTAATTTAAAAGTTATTTACCCTTTAAATTAATATTTTAGTTATAATGTCTCTGTATTTTCCTATTGTCACTGGAGGATACTTTGTCTATGGAGATCGGATAAATACAAATATTATGCTTTCATTGAATGAAACATGGATTACATCTATTGCTAATACACTTATAGCCTGTCATTTAATCCTTGGATTCATCATAATCATTAATCCTGTATCATTACAATTGGAACTTTTTTTTAATGTTCCTAATAGTGAGTTCAAAAAAACCACAAAATTCAAAATAATCAATAAAATACTATGAATATATTTTTAGAGTTCTGTTTTAAAAGGTTGACAACAAGATTTCTATTATTAACATTAATGATTCTTCTTGGAGAATCAATACCAAATTTTGGCAAATTAGTATCATTGATTGGTGGTTCAACTGTTACATTAGCTACTTTTGTACTTCCATCATTGTTCTACATGAAACTTTGTGAACAAACTAATCCAAATTGGCCAGAAAGGTAAATATAATGATTTATTGCATGTAAAATCATTTTTTCTTATTGGATTAATTTTTAGATCAATCTCATGTCATTCAAAAATGTACATGTGGGAAATAATTATTGTTGGTGTTCTTGGTGGAATGGCTTCAACTTATGCTGCCATAATGGCTATAATAAATATGACATCAGTTACCAAACCTTGTTATTGGAATTGGTTTTAGTCTATATAAACTACTTGATCAATAATTTTTTCTATATTATTAAAATAGAATTTTATGATAATTCCTAACTTATTTTAGTTGTATATATCTATGCTACAGAATACTTGTTACCATTTTTTTCTTATTCGACTGAGTTATATATATATATTATTTAATAAAGTTTCATTAATTTTAGTTGTAAATAATTTTTTTAAAGAATTAAAATACATATCAATTAAACTGAACTTTGTAAATTATTGTAGACATTAATTGCTATTTTTTTTTTTTTTACATTAAAAAAGAATAGTTTCATTAAATGTTTAACAAATTAGTGACTTCATTGTTTCATTTAATGAATACTCGTAAATAGCAAAATATAGGTAATATTAGGCATCATTATATTAAGCGAAAGACTATATGTCATAGTTATGAACTAAATATTTTACTTATGATTATTATTTATAAGAATAATTTAGGGAAAAAATCCATATTTATTAAAAGAGAACTTATTTAAACTATTTATTTGAGAAAGGACATGTCAAAAATATTGAACTAGTAGAAAACAGTAAACTCTATTTTTATGCTACCATTTGAGTATTTTTTTATATAGCTTCAATATATACGTTTTGTCCAATAGAGCGGAAGTAATCGTCGTGTATATATACACAATAAAATCACGGCAGAGTTTTGCCAATAGTTCATTATACTCTTATAGGGTAGCTAAAATATTTAATAATAACAATATGAATAAATATTATACATACATTTATTATTATTATTATTAATTACTATAATAATTTTCATAGTTAAGCTTTAATACCAAACGGAGACGTTGCATATTAAAAATGTCTTTATGAGCAGGAGGACACAAAAAAAGTTTTATGACTGTATTTTACTGTGACTATAATAAAAAAAAAGATCAAATATTTTTATATCAACATAGTTAATTTAATTCGCTCAAAAATCCCATTTTACTAAAAAAATGAAAATTTGTATTACTTTAAAATTTATTTAAAAATTAATATTAACCTAAACCAAAATCTCTCTCAAAACTGAAATTATTAAAAAAATAAAAATCGAAACTCATTCATAACTCAAAAAATCATTTTTGTTTGTAGCCTAGGTTAACTATACCTCTACTAAACATTTTAATATCGTTTTTGTCTTAGTTCTTTACTAATTGTACTATTGTAGTATTCCTATATTATTTTAATTTTAATTTTGGACTATTACTTTTAACCAGTTGCTCATAATAAGTGTCTCGATCGCTCTGCATTTTTCTAATAAAAGCACATTTGGGTAGGTGCATGACACATACATGGTAATCCACGGAGGGGCTTACCTTTCCAAAAAAGTTGCCATAGGCCCCAACATTTTAATAAAATTTTATGTATTTTCATAAAAAGAAAATTGAAGGTGATGAAAAAATAAATTTAACTCTACTTAAATATTTTCATAAATTTCAATATGCATGAAATTTACTGATTTAAACATAAATGAATAAAAACACATGGTTTAATTTAGAACTAGTTATAATATATAAGCGCTAGAACGGTTTTCGTTTAAACAGATTTTGGCTCAAATTACAGCACCAAATCGGCATTGTGAAAAGTCTTAGTTCCCGCCATCCTTTAAAATATTTTAAGGGAAAATTAAGTAGTATTATATATAAATACTAATTATTTTATGAAATATTTTCTTGTATTATTGTGAGTGAATACATTGTTACCGGTGCACAGTGTTCATTTGACTTTAAACGTAATAATGTTTTTGGTTTTCAATTATTGTAGTTGATATATTACAGCTAAAAAAATATAGTATGCTATTGTTTGTTAATGAATAGATAGAAATAAGGTAATGTACATTATTTCGAGCGAAGCGAAAGAACATCTGCTTGACTTTTGAAACTTGCCTAAGTTCAAAACACTATTCACGTCTATGTTATTAGATAAGAAACATATATCTTTTAAAATAGTTTTTATTACAAAATTAAGTTTAATCTACAAACTATCAAATGAACTTCGTAATTACTTTATTGCGCGAACCCTCAAAAAAGCGTAAAGCTATTCTTATATAGTCTATTTCTAAAAACTTATTTAAACTAAACAAAAATGTCAAATAATTTCATCTACATTTATTATCTTCTCATTACCTAAAAACTAAAATACGTTGATAAGTCAATCACGAGTGGTAAAATATCTTTGCCCTTGTTGAACTTTCTCTTTAGAGTACCCATACGTATTTATTTCACACTTATATAAATATTTTTATTCATAGTTACACTAATTATGAATTGATTAATAACCTGCACATAATTACTATGTAAAGGCGCCTTTCTTACACCTCAAGGATACAGATCGAATCAATAGATGCTACAGGTAATTGTTGAGTAGATACGAATATATTTACCTGTCGATTCGTGAATAGATGACACATATGCCTTATGGGTAATAAAAATCGTACCGGAGAAATTAAATTATTTGCAAATTATTCTATGGCTATGGAATTGCACTTTAAATTATAATCTATGGAGAAGGTGTTTAAAAGTATTATATATTTTATGTAGTATCTAGTTAATGATCTTGCTAACCATTTATCTCAATTAATAAATAACTATTAAAATTGTAGTTAAGAAAAAACATGACCCGAGGATCTAACTGATGCGGTCGAAGATTTTTTTATTTTTTATTGTTGATTGTGCATATCAAATGTGCATTTCAAGTTTTACTTCACTATTTAATGAACGGTTATAATAGATATGTAGGTAGGTAAGTATATGATTTCAGAGATAACAAGAACTATCAACTATAACATGATTCCTTGTGCCCGTGGCACAAGCCATGAAATAAGCAGATAATTTTACCGTTTTACTGAACATCACAAATTTCTTATGTTATCTAAATTAAAGAAAATGATAATTAACTCCAGTGATTGAATATAAAAAACAAGTATAATGCATTCAATAAATACGCATAACAGTGATTTTGTTGTGTATTTTCGGCCGTAGCTAAGTAATTACAAATATTAGGTAATTTTTGTTCCATAAATACTGTACGAAATTAAAAGGCAAACAACAGAAATTAAATAAACAGAAATATATTTTTCTTTATTAAAACAACTATTATAGAAAAATGAATTTTTAATAATTTTATTAGATTGAAAATAAGTTACAAAAAATATTAAGAGACACCAGAGACAAACTATCACAAATTATTTATATACGCTCACACGCTTTGAAAATAACGTAAAACTACTGTTCAATGGTTATTGAATAAAAATTTAAAAAATAGTTTCGACACATTATCAATATACATATATACAACAGTAGTTTCACCTCATTTTCAAAGCATGTGAGCGTTGAAGTCTAAATTTCACCAGAAATTAGGGATGTGCTTTTTTTGGTATTATATACTGAGATTTTCAATTTATGATCTCATTGCCTATTTTTATACATCATCTTTCTATGACATAAGCAGAAAACAAAAAAATATACACATAAACATGAAATTAAATTCGACTCTTATAAATATTAAATCGATAAGAAAATTCATAAGTTTTCTAAACTAATACATTGAATTTTAACATTTTTACAGTGTTCTTTGTTACAATGAAACTTTTATTCGGTAAATACATATCCTTTCCCTGGTTGAAGTTAAGAAAAAAATGATAGGTATCTACGAGGTTTTAATAACCGAGAACTACTACAAATGTTATGTTATTATATATATATAAACAAATTTACACATATCAAAAAATATTTAACTTAACGTAATAAAACGTTTAACTGAATAAGAATTCTAGAGAAAAATAGTGTTTATCATTTAATATGCCATAGCAGCAAATTAACGTTGAACAAATGATATTCCGATAAATGAATTAAAAAAAAAACTTAACATTTCACTAACATAACATTTTTGTTGTTAAACATAATATGTTAATGAACCCAACCGTATTATAATTACGGTTATCCCATAAACATAATATAAAACGTTTGAGAATTTCAAAAAAATCTACATTAGTTGAACGTGTAAAGACCAACATAATTGCTATTTATATTAAAAAAATATGTGTAAACTTTCAAAATTTCGGAAAAATTATCTTTTATTTTTTAATTGATCAAATTGAAAAACTTAATGAACTTTTCAACTCCGATTGAGTCAATAGTGTAAGCCTTAAACCAGTCCGGTCAATAATTAATTGTAACTCGTACGAAAATAACACGAGATCAATAAGGTACTTTTACCTCGCTAATTGTGCCAATTTCAATTGCTAACTTTTTATATTTTGCGCGGCTAATATCTTAAAAATCTAACTGAAGAGTTCCGACCACAACTTGGCGCAATACACATAAAAAATCAACAAATTAACGGATTGATCATGCAAGCTGAACGTCACTACAGCGTCACGATGATCTGCCGTTGAGGTATACAGATCCGGGTGACTTCTTTGGTCTAGTAGCGCCCACCGTAACTATTAGCGGCAACTGCAAACGGAGTCGGCCGCCGTGTAGTTGCAGTAGCCAATAGGTACGCGGCTTGCTCAGGTGCCCCTTACCCGTATGTGTATTGATGTTGTAACTAGTGCGGGTACGTATTTGGTAACAGGTGTTTCGATAAACGCACGGAGGTCGGCGTTAAGAATAACAAAAGTGTTTTTTCGAAATCGTTTTTCTTTGATCTGAATAAGTTTGATTATTTCACGTAATCGAAAAATCCAGACGATAATAGAATTAAAACAGTATCATTGTCGACATTGATTGGTACAATAGTGAGTAACAGAAATTTGAATGAACAGACCATCGAGTACCCAAAAACAAGGCAAAGAACTTGCAAATACTCGAATTCAAAAATCAATCGGCGAGGTTATCATCTAGACATTTCCCAAGACTTCAGTCGAATGGTAAGTAAGAAATCTAATCCGTTTAAAAGTAACGGCCGATCTATTAGCCATCACATCATTTTGTTTATTATCACAGCAAATCAATTAAGCATTAACTGACTAGATGTGTTGCAGAAAATATTTAGAAATTATTGTTCTGGCCAATTTCATAATTTCTTTAACAAAAATTTTAATGAATCTGAAAACGATTAGCACGCGCATGATTTAATATGATATAAAATAACCGAATAAGGTGATAATTGATATTAGTAAATAATTTTCATTTCAAAAACACATTAATTAACCAGTCGTGTAGAAAAAAAAAATTATTTTTAGAAATAATATCTAAAGAACACTTCACGTGTAATAATCGATGATGTTTATAAATTAATATACTACATAAACCTACTTTCTACATAGCAATATATTAGAAATAGTTATAAATCAATCTTGTTTTGACTTCAATCAAAGCCTTACTGTTGAGTTCGACTATCTAATTATAGTTTAATAAAATATTCACGCCTTAGTACTCTGCATAAATAACATTAAATGAAAAAGAATCAAGTATACAATCGGGTTAATCAATATTTGATTTTTGCCAAATTTTTCGTAGGTACCAGTTTATAAAATTCCAAATACTATTTTCTTTCTAAATTATTAAATATATTATTAATATCTATATCTAATATAGATATAGATTATTATTTTTAAATATTTTAACTTATTAAAAATGGTGTATTTATACAAAGTATAAATAATCAAGTGCAATAATTGTATACCTTACTTCGTTAATTTATTTTATAAAATAAATATTAATAAGGACAGAATTAATTAGTTTAAAATTAACTAATTAAATTTGAATATTTTTGTTTTAAATCTATCCAAAAACTATCAATAACAACTAAAAAAAAAATGTTTAAACAATTAAAACAGTTGTTACATAACCAAAAAGTTTATATTAAAAAATGTAGAATAACAACATCAATTATTTGTGATCAAAATAAATATTGTTGTCATCATAAAGAATGTGAAAAACACAATTGAACTTAAGATACTAAATCGATTATTTGATCATTAATTAGGAACGTGCATATTGTTTTAAAATCGTCAAGTCATCTAATCGTATTTTGGATTTACATTACAATAAATACTTTTGCAGAACATGGTACAGCATTAAATTTAATTTCCTGTAGCTTTAAGACAATCATTTTTTTACGTAAGTACTTGTGTCTTTTTTCTGGGTGGTACATCATAAATAATACAATAGACATAGCGAATATTATAATTTATAATTAATAAATCGTGCTGAATTTTGGCAAGTGACGTTGTATATCTTTACCAGAACTGTGTTTACTTGGAGATACGTGTTTGTCATTTTGAATAGTACAAATGGCTGTGACAATTATTTTCTTATTAAATTAAATATTTGGAGTGAAAATTATAAATTATAATTATACCTATGATTTCAATTTGATATTATGCGCATAGATATGTTATAGCAAAACAATTTTTTTTTTTGGTAAATTCACGGTAAATAAGTACTAAAATAAAAGTTGATCGATTCTGGTAAAAACCAAATATTACTTTAAATGGGAACCGGCATTAGTAAAATATTACTAGTTTTGTACTAAGCGGTTACCAATTGTCATATAGATCATATACGGTAATATGCGATTATGGAATATAATTTAGAAAAAAAATTAAAGAATCAATAACCGTTATAACTAGTTATTTTTTTTTTTTGGTTACCAATAAAAACCGGTTTATAATAAAATAAAATTTTGAAGAAATTAATTTCACACACCAAAAAATAATTCAAGGGTGGTTTTGTAAGGGAACTTTTTACAATTCTTCGTCCCAAGTGTATTTTTGACTTAATTACTTTCTTCGTATAATTGACATGAAATTACTACTATTCAATGGTACGGTAAGGATTATGTTCTGAGGTTGTATACAAGAAAATCTTTCACAAGTTACCCTTTCTAAACGAAAAAAAACTATTTTCACGGTGTAAGCATTTTTGTTCTCACGAAATCTATCTCCTCACGCCTTTGATTTTGTTTATTATCATATAAATACACTGTGTGGTAAATGTTAGGTCAATTAGAATAACGTAAAATATAAATTAATTATGAAGACGCATAAATAAGGATAAGTAGGTTACTTTGTTTCAGTTTTGTCAAACTAAAATATTAAATAAATTGGTACAAACATTTTTAATGTTTACTTATTTGGATAATTAAGTATGCTTTATATTTTTGTATTTATAATTTATAATAAACATTTTAGGCGTATAAAAATGTGTTTTCAATTACAATTTCATCTTTCAACACATTAAATTATTATTTTTGTCTTTAATTGGTTAATTTTAAGAGGTTATCGGTTTTAATAAAAAAAAAAAAAATTTAACGTGTTGATTGTTGTATACATGTTAATAATTTAAAAAAAAATATATATATATAATTTCTTCTTTTTTTTTAAGACCAAAAAAAAAAATGTAAACTACTTTTTGATTAAAAAAGGCTTGTTTCGAGGGAAAATTGTTAATCGGTTTCAAGCCGTTTTACTAAATCTAGAAACCAAAAACCCAATGAAATTAATGGAACTCACAGTTTAAATATTTTATAGCTAATAATGTTTTTTTTAATTAAGTTGACATGTTTCACTTTAACACAAGTGTTTAATTATAACCTTGGTTTGTTATAAAATATAAGTTTTAGCTTCAATCTAATAGTCGTTGAAAAAATAATACAACATGCCATGAATTTATTTACACTCATTTAAAATAATTAAAATTGCAGTTAAACACAAATTAAATAAGTTCAATAATATTTTTGCTGTATTAATTGAAAATGTATATCGTTACTTTTCAAAACTATTTTTAAGTTCGAAAACTATGCAAATTACAACAATACTTTCACGTTGTTTTTTTCATTCATAAACCATAAATTTACTAGCTTCATCGTCAACATTACAAGTACAGACCGATACCACTTGTTTATACAAGTTAAATAAAACCACAAAAAACTCTTTGCAATAAAAAAATTACAATTGCAAACTAAATGTACATGCTCACGACTAATTATGCAGTAATGTTTTAATAATGCGGGACATCGCAAGTAAAAACTTAATGGTGTATGAATGTGTGTAGTAATTAATTAACCAAGTATTATTTCAATTTGCCTATGACTAAATACAAGTAAAATAAAGGGAGAGTTTTTTCTAAGACGCTTGTTCACAGAAAGAACATTTTGTGTTTCGATACAACTAATTCATAGTAGTCTTACTGATATAATAGATTTTTTTACCTCAGCCCGTTGACAAGATTCTTAAATGATTGGCGATATTATTGATGACTATATCACGCGTTACAACAGACTACTAATTAGTGGTATAGAGTTTGTCGAAATACAAAAATAAAAAACCTTCACCTCCAGAATATTAACGTCTTGAATATTAATGCGAATTACAATATATTACAAGAATTTGACGATGACTAGTGTCTGAAAATCTTCCGTATTGCTAAATATGTTACAAGTTACAATCAGTTACATACAGTGTATGAATCGATGGTGATAATTTTAGCGATTAATATATTGACGACATGTTCATTATATAAACTGAATAATTTTTTATGTTCTTATTGAAATGATTATCTTGTAATCTGACAACGATTGACTACAACTACACAAATAGAATATCTTCAATGAATAACAAAAACTAATGGAAAATAAAATAAAACTATTACCAAGAGAAAAACTGCTATAAAATAAAACAATGAATGAAAATTGTAATTTTTTAAGGGATTTAATTAGCTACTATTGATATCTATTTTTAGTGCTTTTATAGAACAAATTCTTTGAATATATAACATAAGAATTTGAATATTTTCAAAAAAAGTAGTCATAAAATAAGTAAAAAAAACTAATACAAAATCATAAAGTATACTGGTAATAATATCAAGAAAAATAAATAGTCAACTACTATCGTGATTTGTTATTGTGCTAAAATACATAAAAAAAAAGTGTTGATAAATAACATCATACGGTAGTGGTTGAATTATGTATAAGCTCATTTATTCAAATCTAATGTATTTAATTAGTCAATTAAAAAAAATACATTGAGATAAATAATACAAAGTATTATTTATCGAAAAAAAAAATTAATTAATATATTTGAATTGTATTATAAAGCAATCATACCATTTCACAAGCAATCTCTCACAAGGATGCACCTAAAATATAAAGCTTAAATTTATTGTATTGAGACTAACTAAACAAATTGAAACACTGAGGTTCATTCTTTAATTTATCTTGAATTGAATTTTGGATGTTAAACCAAACCCAAAAAATAAATTTTATTATTTGAAATTAAAAAAATAATAAGTTATACGTGAAATTATATTTTATAATTTATGTCTACGCGTCAGTTGTAAATTACTATTATTAAGAAATGGTAATTTTACTTGTTTTGACTGACGATGACAATACATCTTTAAAATGTCACCAAGTATGATATTAATAATATAGAAATAAGTTTTTACTTTACAAAAGCATTTTTATCACCTAGTAAAAATAATGCAACTAGCACCTAATAACAATTCGTAATACTATTGAAATATTTAATTGAGTGAGTTTATTTTTAGTGTAACTAATTAAGCTACTTTTATAAAAGTAAAACACCATAAAATTTAGAATACAGGCGGAACTTCATAAATACTAATCATTATCATTGTAAACGATGTTTTATTTCACTTTAAACTTATGAAACCTTGTTTTATATTCATTGTCTAAGACATTGCGAATTGTCAAATATTATTATATTTCAAGGTTTTGTACAAGTGGACAAGAATTTTTAATTATTCTGTTTAAAACTGTCAGCCAACAGTACATACTCAAGACATTCAATTGAATAATTTTGTATGTGATTAAAACGTTCAACTGAACACTATGAGCTTAAGGGTTTATAGCACACTGATCAAACTAATTAGTACAAAAATCTTTTAACCGGATCATATCATTGACTGTAAAAGAGACAAGATCACTGTGGTAATTTCAAAGTACGTAGACGTGACTTATTATATTATATCCCACAGAGATTAGATTATACCGCAATGCTTCAAACAAATTATTTACTGACAAGTGCAAAGTATTAAGCAGTTATATATTACGGAGAATATATAATTGTTCTTAGAGACTGACATGCTGATAACAACGCAAATTATAATATATTGTAGTATACAAATAATTTAATTAAAAAAAAAAATATATATATATACACATATTAAAAGTAAAAGTACATTCACCAAACTTCAATTTATTAGGTACGTAATATTTCATGTTTAAATAAATAGTACTGCGATAAAATATTTTCAAAATTTTACTTACTTGCGATTGCGATGATATGAACGTACAAGTTCAAAATATTAAGCGTTAACATTTACATAAACGTTAAGTAAATTATCTATTCAATTCATAGGTAATGAGAAGAAAATTAAGAAAAAATATAAAACTTTTGGTCTTTGTGTTTTATTTGATTAGAAATATACAATATTTAGAAACATTTGTTTGAGAATTTTTCAGTGTATACATTATAAAAATAACATGGTGGACTTACGTTCGAATAACTAGAAAAAAGGAGAGGTATTTCAGAAAATTCTTATCAGGTATTTGGTTATTACTTAAAAACATGCGAGTTAATTGTTTGAATTGGAACTTCACTGGACTAAAGTTAATCCAAAACTATTTTTGAATAAATTTTTTACAAAAATAATATTAACCAAAATTCGTAACACACGCACTACATACTACTGACAATTTTCAAATCTATTGCTGAAAATAACTGCAATTACATAATTAACGTATATTGCTATCAAGTAATACTCAACAAATAGTTTGTTTATGATTCAAAATAACAATTTAAAAAATCACAAATCTTTCCATGCAGTGGACGTTTTATCTATTTAAAATATTTTCTAGTTAGATTATAATTGTTTTAATAAAATATTTTACTTTCAATTTATCTTACAAAAGAAATCAATAGCGTTTCATTGTAACGTATTCCACAGAAAACCATACACCGGAGTTTGATTATTATAATAAACTTGAATATTTGATAAACGAATAATAGTTAATGTGGCGTTTAAAATACACTGATGTGAGTGTTTTTTTAAAACTTCCATATAATCAAACTCATATTTCCCTAAAAAAATCATATTATATATATATATATAAATATATTTTTTTTTTTCTATAAAACTGAATTAACAATTTTTGTACCACATTCAAATTGCTCCAACAACAAAATCCATTATAAACATTTCACTTACATCCCTTGCATTCCAAGAGAATTTAATCTATTAGATATATGTATATTTCAATAGTAATACCATTACATTAATAGTATACGGAATGAGGTCTAAATATTATTAGATCAATAGATTTTATTTAATAACATTAGATAAACAATTTTGTTATATTTTAAACTGTTTACTTATGTATTAAACAGGTTCATTTTTTTAAACATGTTTTTAAGAACCCTGTTATTATGATAACAAGTATATTAAGTATACCTACAAACATAAAGTTTATAAATCGGTCCCCATACTTCTATTATGCATAAAGTAACATTATCAGCCCGTCACTTCTCCATATTAACGTAAAATTAATAATATACATAAAAAATGATGTTTGCTATTAAAGGATCTATTTCTTTATTTATGACAATATTATATATTAATATAACATTATAAATTATTTTTCACTATTTTTATTAAAATTAATTTATCTACTCAACTAATGGTGTATAGACAAGAATTTAAGGATAATGTTTTCATTTTACTTGTAATTATCATTTAAATTTACCGTAAAGAATAGAATATTAGAATTTTAAGAATTCTTGAAGATTTACTTTTTGACAAATTATTTTTCTGCACAATAAAAATTAAATTTTGTGTTTATTAAAATATATTCAACTTATCTACTATATTTTTACATTTTTGTTTTATAATTTGATATTTTTATTTTGATTTAATAAATCAATGTCGTATATTAAGGCGAAGTTGAGTTATTGTAAATGGATTTTTTAGATAAATGCACAAGTTTTTATTTCGAACTTAAATTTAATACGATAGCAAGACATTTAATGGCCACAATTTTTCAATTTAAAATAAAATCTACTGAATATTCTAAAAGAAAAAATAAATATACAATTATCCCATTTATTTATATTATTCCGCTTCATCCTATTTGTGATAAGTATTTTAAAAATACGTAATTAACATATTTGCTATATGAGCAAATTCATTGTATTCTTTATATAAAATCTTAGAATTTGTTAGGTCATGTAGACCTACGCCGCCTATCCACCCTCTCTTCTGTAAAACACACAAGAACAAAATTGGCACTCGAAGATTTTTTTAATCGACAGATTTTAGTAGGTTTGAAATATTTTATTCACTTATTACTGAATAATATTGGAAAAAATAATCTTTTACAGCTCTATTTGGCCCCGCTTTTACGACTGTTTTTTTTTTATTGCACATTTTAAATATTTGATCAGTGCGATTCTGATATTATGTATGAATTACTTTAATTGTATGAATACTCTTTTATTGTTATGTAGTACTAAGTGCTACATTTTTTCACTCTAATCAGTAATTTGTTTATTTTGTACACATATAGACAATAATTATGCCTGGACAACTTTCTGTATGGCCTATTTGCTTTTTCAATGTCAGTAAACCAGAGATTGATGACAACATCAAGAGTTATCGTACATCCCTAATCAGGTATACTTAAGCTTTTCTTTTACATTCATTCATAAGTCATCAAACCATTGTTTTTTCATAATTTACTAACTCATATCATTATGGAAACCAAAAATAACCACAGAAAAATATACAAATTGTATTTTGTAAAGTTGAAGAAAACAACATATAATGCCTGCTGTTGCATATACTTGTAGTAACTATTAACATTATATCAATTATGTTAGTTAAAACAAAAATTCTATTCAATATGCTCGGCTTGAACAAAAAATTATATCCAATATAATCGCTATAATTGGAATCATTTCTAATCTGACACCTTGGAAAATTTTAAAAATAAAATAAAAATTTAACTATTTAAATTTTACTTGAAACTGGAATTTTTTTATTGAATTATCCTACATATTAATTTGGAATTAAAATAGGAAAATACAATTTTTATTTGTGTGTAATATATTTCAATATTAAATTATTTAAATCGTAGTTGATGCTCTTTTTTATTTCTGAAAGCTATATGGCTAATTCCTTTAAAATACAAACAATAACTCTGGCAATTCGCTTAATGATTAAGCGCACACGACTCAAGATAGTTTGACTGAGTGATTATATCAGTAAAAGTAAAACGTTTACTTTATGGCAAACAACTCGCCTTCGACAATACTGTGCGCAATACAATGTATAATGACAGGCTAGAAGACTAATGGTTTGCTATTATGTTGATTTTTTTTTAGTTTATATTATTACATTTAATTGCTAGTCAAGCGCAGTAATAATACACTTGTGAGTGGGTCTATTTCTTATTTTATTGTTTCGAAATACTTTTAATTATAGTTTTAACTGAACCCATCAGGGTTGTTACATTTTAAACACAAAGTGTTTAAGACACCAAAAATTTCAAAAATTTACATTTATCTTATGGGACATTTTAAATATTTTAAACTGTTTACTTATGTTTTAAACAGGATAATTAACAACCCTGGATCCCATTAAATTATTTAAATATTGATAAGTATTCTAATATACCATTGAGTGAAATTCATTTCAATTATGTGCAAGTAGTATTGTACAAATACCAAAATATTCCAAAATTAGCCCCTATGTATTTATATAGGGACTAATTTTAATTAGAAAAATGTCAGGGAAGGAGATATCAAAAAAGGTCCTACAAATATTTTGTTGAAATTGCCTATGTCCATACACACACGTGTTCAGTATCTCATCCAGGGAAGTTAAAACCCCTAACCCCCTACAATTGTTTCTAAATTTTAAATAATGTTATATACATCAAATATAAAAATTAATCGGCAATTAACATTAAAAAAAAGTTGTATAAGTAATGTATAAAAATAACACATACAATATATCATTATATACAATAAATATCACTCTAATTACGTGTAATATATTTGTATGCAATAATCATTAAAGTTGCTCTTAATTATTGTCAATAGTGTTATGGTTCAAAATTTGTAATATTAAAACGAACAATGCAATTTTTCTAATCTATTTTATTATTCGTATATAATAAGAATTGATTACTTTTGGCAAAAATTATTTAAAGATAAAAATATAATTAAAATATTTTTTAAAAACTAAAAATTTTTATAACACAAAACGCATATATAAGTATATGTTTTGCTATTTGTTTGTAATTTTTATTTTTTATCAATACTTTTAATATATTTTTAATTTCAATTAAAATCCACATGTCCTTTATTAAAAATTAATATATTGTTAACTTTTTTAATATTTATTTGGCTTTATACATAAAGTATTATTTTATAAGAATTGAGAGTTGAAGATTGTATTGGCATTTTTCATAATTTATAAGATAAAGATTTATTACTTTCGTATGTAATCAAAGAGTTACTAATAATTATAATAATTTATTTTTTATAGGGAAAATGGGTATCGAACTAAAAATGCAAATTCTATAAATAAAGATATTAAAATGTACAATATTAGTCAATTTGTTTTAAAAAATAGCATTATGATAGTATACATAAGTGTTGCGTTCATTTAAACCTTCTCGAAAGTAATTTTCATATTAACATAAAAACGAAGCGCCGTTTGTTATTTTAACAAATCTCATTTTTTACAGATTTACGAAACCGGTTTCAGCGCACGTACCTATGTAATTAAAGTCGTATTTTTCGTTTTTATTTTTACAATTATACTTCTGTACTAGTTAGGGTATAATAATCTTATCGGAGTTCTGAAAGAGTAGCCGACGTGGACATGTAGTGTAATGACGTAATTTGAAGAGATTTTAAAGTGGCAAAATTTCTCAATTTATTAGGTAAAAACGATGGCCAAGAGTTCCGCAATAACTCAGAGTTGGTCTAATATGCGCACGTCTTTAACATAATCTAGAAAGGTTGCCATTTGTACCAGCCCCCTTTTGGTTAAGAGTAAAGGTACGACCGTGAAAGACGTAAAGAGCTCAGCAACCTCTAAATACTAAAATTAAATAAATATCATATAAAAATATTTTTTTAGAGAGGAAAGTTATGTAATTAGATCTCCCAAGCATTTTACCCTAATTGTGCGTATACCTAAAAATTTTGTATTGGAGACATGTGAAACATAATTATAATAAATTCTAATAATGTCAATCCTTTACACGAGCTTTTCTCAGTGAGACTTAGCAATCTCAAATTTAAAAATAAATACCCAAGAAAAAAATTTTGTTAGTTATCAGAATTAACAACGGGTGAAGTATTGCACCAGTACTGACAACTGACCGAGCAATAAGGATATTAGCGTAGTAAAGGCTGGCTTCATGTCTAAGCACTTTTCTGGTACTGATAGCTGCTAATGCGCCAGTACTACCAACATTGGTGCATTATTGTATATATTCCCAAACAGCAATTTTAAATAATAATTTTATAAATATATTATTTAAAAAAAATACTGCCTGGGTTGTAAAATTTGAATAAATTATTTGAAAAAAATTTATTAATAATAATGTTTGCCTTTAGTCATAACTAAAGACCGGATTTATTTGCATCTAAAAAGTTAAAAATTATATTAATTTAACCATAAAAGTCCTTGAAATATGCATTAAATTATATTATCAATATTAGTAAAACATGCAAAAACATTTATTTTTGATTAATAATCGTTTATGGAATCATATGCAATAAAGTTACATCAAATAGATACTATTTTGTGGTGTCAAAGACAAAAATAGTAGATAGGAAAAATTTTTTTAAATTTTTAAATCGTTACCTACCCCTCGAGAATTAAAAAAAAAGGTACATAAATTTCTTGTCAAAATAGATCATTTAATGTCGGATGTAATTTTTTGGTAATTTACGAAAAAAAAATTGAAGTATACAAACATTTTTTGTATAACCAATAAAAAAAAATATGAAAAAATAATTCATAGTTGAATTGAGTTAAATATGTTTTACAAAGTTAAGTTTACCAATTTTTTTATTATAGTACTTACATACTAGTTTGCATAATCGGACATGACAATTTTAAACAAATAATAATTGATATAAGATTTTTATTGCATTTCAATCTTCAATGTTATTAATAACCCAGTAGTATTTTTATATTATGACTAGTAAACTTTTAATAATTATTATGATAAATTCTATTAAATAAAAATTATTATACAGGTACAACATTTTAGCAACTACATTTTTTAGCTTAAAATTATAAAATTTTTAAAGAATTCTACTGTTTTTACCGACAAAATGGAGCACTTATTAAAGTTTAACACATTTATTTTCAGAGAAAATTTACAATCGCCGTTTATATTTTACTTTAGTTTCATCATAAAAATTTTATAGGAAATACGTTTTTAATAAGGAATTCATATTTTCTTTTTCTTTGTGTTACTTTTTATGAAATATAAAATACAACTAAATAATGTTTTTATGTAGTTTTTATATTACAAGTAATTTGTAAATTCCAACCCACTCAATTACTTACAGAATAAAAGTGATGTCGGATATATATTATTTAGTTTTTTTAATTTCAAGTATTTTTGGTACATCCCTTTTGTCTTAGGTACCAACTATAGTTTTTTAATGGCAATATACATGTTTTATTGATAAAAAAACAGAAAATTATGAATATAAGAAAATGCCTGATACAAGTTTCAACGGGCGTTCATCGTTTCCGCCAAATCTGATTAAGGTAGGTTTTTTGTTTCCGCCAAACCGATAGTTTATACCTGTCTATAAACAGAAGCTTGAGAACCACTGGTTAAAATATTTGCCGAAATAACCCGATAATAATTATCTGCTATTCATTTAATCGAACTATTTACTATTTTTTTATTGTTATTAGATAGCAGTGTATTGATAATTGTGAATCATATCATTCACATCTTAATGAACAATTTTTTAAGGCGCATCCTTCTAAAATTTGTAGATCATAGATCTATTTTTTGTTATATTATTACACGTATTAGATATTTTTTAATCTTATTATCATTATTTGAATTTTATTTCAATGTTTTGATGACTTTTTATTTTCTTATAAACTATATTTTTATTATTCATTACAAATATATATACATACTTAAGATAGTTATCTATTATAATTTATTTACCTTAGGTAAAACATCATATTTTCTTTAAAAGGTATGCCTAAGTGATAAAATAAGTAATTATTCAAAATGACGTGGCCATATTTAGGGTTGGTTAAGGGGGGCAAAAATTCTTGGGGGCGAATGTCATTTGATAATGATAGGACAAAAAATTACTTTATTTTGCTCATTAATATTAATACCTCACGCAAAAATCTTAAATACAGGCCTGAACGTAACATTCAATAAAAGCCAAAAACTTTGTTACTGGTAGCTACCTAACTTAGCCGTATGCTAAAACCAATACTGGTCGTCGTGGTCACCCATGGATAAAACTAAATGATTCTCAAATTTTTTAGTAGATAGACAGGTAGAAGATTAGTTTGGCGGAAACGAAAAACCGACCTTATTCAGGTTTGGCAGAAACGATAATCTCCCATTTCAACCAGAATTTCGAATTTTTCTTAAAATATACACTGTTAGTGAGGTACTGATTATGCCACTATTTTTAAGTTATTAACACGTTTTTACCTAAGCGAAAAGAGGACGAAATGATATATGTTTAAAAGTAATTTACAATTATTTTGAATTAAATTTAGAGATGAATAAATAAAGAAAAAAGCTAATTACATACATTTATATAAAAATCTCAAACTTTTTTGAAATTTTTCAAAATTTTGCCTTGTAATAAATTCATATAAACTTTACAATACTAACCCGATATATATAAAATTGAGTAATTATACAAATAATTAAATTATATTTGGGGTGTTTTTTAACATTTACTATTGAATAATAATAGTTTATTAAATTTTATATACATCAATAGTGATTTAAAAGGATCACAAAATCCTACTTTAGCTCATCTTAGTATTACGAACGAGAGATGAAAAACAAATTTTTTTTTAATCGAACTTAGTTTATAAAATGTATTTGAGTTACGCGTTAGTAATTTGTATGGGTCTTATGAACAGCACTAGCACTGATTACAAACGCTGTATGTTTTAAAGAATAAAGTTGTCAATTTACCTTGTTGCTAAGATCGTTAAAAAAGATATTATTTTACTTTAATACAAAACAAATTAAAATAAATATAATTCTTAAAATTTGGTAGACTACATTTTGAAAAATGTTTTAGATTTTGTTATTATCTTTTTTGTTTTTTTTTTTCATTTATGTACAACATATGCTTTTATGTACCAAATAAGTATTCACACGAGAAAAATCGCGTGATGTAATTGTCAGGAAAAAACAACTAATAATATATGTATTCCTGAATATGAATTCGTCTTTTATAATTTTTAGTCACGCGAATTGACTCGAAACAAAAGTGTCTTTAACACTTTTTTAAAATGGACTGTCTAAGAATGTACAAAAAACAAAAGTTTAACGAAGAACTTCCATAAACGATTAGCTTGTTATTGATGAAAATCATTTAATCGCTTATGTATCGAAGTAATTTCCACGGCGACAATAATGAAATCAAACTATTATTTTAAAAATAATAGTATTAAACATAAAGACTCAATATGTTTCTATAAAGATGAATAACTAGACAGCTTTATTGTTACAATGTTAATTCTTTAATCTCACCAGAATGAAACTACGGATATTATTATTATATTTTACAGTTTTATTAAACGAAAGTAATACGATTAATGTAGGTACTGTTTTGTACAATCAAAAAGATCTAAAACGAAGTTGGTCAAAAAAAAATGTTGATAAATTATATTGTAGGTTAATAATCAATTATCTTTTACCTCAAAATTCAACCAGTGCTGAGGATTTTATCAAATATATTCAGTTGATTAAAGTGCGATTAAAGTCAGCTTCGTTGAATCATAAAAATCGTAATCTAATAAAAATAGCTCTCGCTGATGCTTTAGGAGGCTACATTCAAGGATTTATGTTAGCTCAGATTAAAAGAGAGTACTACGAAGGATATGTTCAGTATAAAACTATAAATACATTGTACCAAATAATGCAGAGAATTATGTGAGATTATTTTCCAAACAACCATTAATAATAAAAAAACGTTTATGTATTTTTTAGACATATCTAAAAATAACGTATGAATTGTAAATGTTTTTTTATACGATTATAACAACTGCAGGAGTTTTTGTTGGTAAACAGGCTAATTGATTTTAGGTTCATATTAAATACCGACGGAAGAGGTTGGATGAAATCAAATCCGGTAACTTTTAAATTACCTACCGCAATCAACTATAATACAAGCTGTGAGATAACCACCCCTACTGAATGTGATTCGTTCGTTCTAGAAAACGGCCGAGTTCCGTTACCAATATTAGACGACAATGATGCCCCGGGCTCTATTCTAGTAATGTTTGTAGAGGCTCAAGTGTACAGTATGTCATGGTCAGGCGATCAACTTTTGTCTCGATATTATGTTCAAGCCATGAGGTGCATGTCGAATTCTGTAGAATTCCAAAATAATTTCGAAAATTGGTTAAACGAGGTTGTAAAGCCTTTGTTGGAAAAGAAACAATGGTATCCTGTGTTTGGCGGAGTATTACGAGTAATAGAATCACTAAAATTAACAAACGCGGGAAGAAGATCAAAAAGAGTAGCGCCTGAGATTTCAAAATTAGCATGGCTCGATTATAATCGATACTACGCTTTAGAACGGCCACCAATTCCAGAACCTCCTAATTTTACAGAAGGACCAGCTTGTGAAACTGATACGATATTAATAGCTAATAGTAACGTTTTTCTATTGGTAATTTTAGTATCTCTAATGATGGCTTGGATTAGTTTTGGTTATTTAAAAGTTCATGGATACACTAGATGGTTATTAAAAAGCTTGAAGATGTAAGTAATTAGTGTAAGAAAAACAATTTTTCAATCGTATTTTATATCTGATGAAAAATATCAATAGTTTATTTGCGATGGAGTTTATACGACCGTTATATCAAAGAATATTCCACGGTGAAATTAATTTTTTTTTTGTTAAAATAGGTTTAAAAAATATTTTCTTTAGTATATTCCAAAAAAAAAAATTTTAAGTTTGCTGTATACATAATATCCAGTACAAACAAATTATAACAAGATTTAAAAAATACTACTTAGTATTTAAATCCATATAAAGAAATTTTAGAATAAATATTGTTATTACACTCTCCTGATTATAGTTCTGTGTATAATGTACACAGCACGTTATAATACAAATGTATTATAATTTGAATGTTACTAAAAACCTCATTTAACAGTTTACTAACCGTTAACATTTAAAACTCTTTCAGTCACACTGTTTTTCGTCGTTAAGAAAACTGTCACAGTTCACAAAAACAATATTTTTTAAATGTTGACATTAATTCTTATTGGAAATATGTTCTATGACTTTTTAAGTTTTGTGGGAATTATTTGGCTTCGTCCTGATTTGATAACTAGCAAAAAAAAGTTGTCATTAGTATTTATTTGAGTATATCAGCATTTCGAAGCTTCAAATTTTGCAAATGTGTGCTATATCATTCAACTAAATTTTGAAATGAACCTTAATCTCAAAAACTTTCTAGTTAAAAGAAAAAAATCTATTCAAGATGTTTCATACTATTTATTTTTAGTTTAAACTAAGTTGTGATTCAATTATTATAAAGTTTTTTAGTCATTACATCAAGTACACTATGATAACATGCTACTTTTGTTAGATCAAATGTTAAGTAGATATAGTAGACTTGATCAATATGTTCAAATAATTAGATTAATTATACACATTTATCATGAATAAAATTAATGTTTAAAATATTTAACACCCGATGGCATATTATTATTTTTAATTATAGTTAAAATATTATACCTAAACAATTGTTATGCTCCAAAACAATTTAAATATTAACATTTATCAAGCAGTTTATTTATCAGTGATCGAAGTATAGTTATTATAGTAAATTACTTTCTTTGAGTTATATTTACTATGATCTTCTAAATAGATATGCGATACCAGTCGGTTGAATACTCAAAGTAATTGCCTATTTATAGAAATAGATTTACAAACGATTGCCGCCCGCCTAATTTTGTGCGAGGTTATGATTTATGGTATGCTATAACAACCTGAATAATGAGCACTTATTCATGGTGGATATTGATATCCATTGTGATAGTAATGGTTAGTTTTATTTGACCAGGTAATAAGTACTTATTATTTGATGTGTGCATTGTGGTTTAATTGTGTAACTCTCGTGGAATTAATATACCTCCTATTTAGTGGATAACTGTTGAGTGATGAACATCCAAACTATTAAGCATTAATTTTTATAAAGATACTACATAAAAGAACACATTAAATTAGACTCATTACTAATGAGATATATTTATAATAAAATGGCCTGCAATTTTTAAACAAAAAAATTATTTATTTGCAACGGTACCTTTAAAAGAAAAAGTGTCTTTACATTCATTCATAATTTATAGATTACAAAAAAATACAGTTTAAATATTAAAATCAAGTCATATAATCAAAAAAACAATAAAAAACTCATCTAAATAGTTATTTACGAAAAGATATTTGGTTAAATGTAATAGATACAATAGCTAATTGAGCTATTTTTCCATTTTCATTGTATTTGAATGATTTATGTAGTCAACATTTACAATATTATATCACTTCCTTTTGGTGCTCTAAGGTGCCTATAGTAAAAACACCATAACACCTACAAAAAGGCATTGTAAATGCTTAAATGAAGGCAAAGTATTGAAAACAAAATTCAAATTTGAATGCCTACTCTAAAAAACTAATTTACTATCATAAGACTAAATTTTATTATTTTATAGTTAACAATATTTAAGCTAATTTTTTTTCTTTTGATGAATTTACATAACTATAAATCACTCTTTTTAAGTCGAAAACATGCACTTAAAAATGTTAATTTTTTTAATCACCTTACTGATTTAAATTTAACTTTAACATTGCATTATGAGTACTACAAAGTGTCATAATTTATGCAGCCTAACAGTAAAAGCGATTAGTTGAATGGTAAAACACCAAAACTTTCTGAAATAGAGAATTAGATGATATTCATTAAATTAAGTGATCGACAAAAATACATTTTATACTGTTATAATTTTTTTTTTCAATTTAAAACGTTAATTGAATTGAATATGTACGTATATACTAGTAATTAAAAATAGTATTTTATTATTCTAAAATTAACATAATATATTGAAGTGTAAATCAAAACATCATGGGAAACTTACAATAACCTTGTTAATACAAGACAATTGACATTTTTTCTGGTAGTTAATTCACTCGTCGATTTATTTCTATGTTCTTTTTATTATTGTTTATCTTTATTATTTAAACGTGTTTATGTATGAATTTCGAAAAATGTTAAACACGCATGAGTAGTAATAATCATCTATAGCTCTGAAATTCGTGTAAAATCATAAAAACATTTTTGTCTGCGTCAATACTCCTGTCAAGATTTTTATTAACTTCTCTAATGCTTAAACAAAAATTAAACACCACATTTCTCATTACATTTGACGCACTAAATACACCTTATGAACACTGGAACTTGTAACTTACATAAATTATTCGAAAATTTAAAAACAGGTTTTAACGTGGTATATTCAATTACCTCTATATTAATAATCTTTTTTTAGCACACATACATTCAACATAGGTAGTTTAATTATAACAATACTTATAATTAAAATATTTTTGTAATAAATAATAAAGGTGATTTTTTGAAAGTAATTTCATGCACTTCTATCTTAACAATAAAAACAAAATTATATTTTATTATTTTATATTTTAACCGTCAGTCCTTGAGTCCCACCGTTTTGGGAACGATCCTTATATACTCTTTAAAACTAGTTGCACTATTTCTACAAACTACTCTTTAAAAATAATAACATTAATAAAATATAATTGCCGAATTATTGTATTGAAGGCTATAAAAATAAATATATATATTTTTTTATAATTATAAATTAAAATTAAAAAAGTTGAATACTTATCTAAGATAAGTGTATATTTATTATATTTTGTTTATCATCTTATCTATTATATTCACAGTTTGTTTTTTATGAATTTTATGCAATACGGCAATCTATGTATGAATATTCTTATTATTTATTTCCGAGTTACTTAGTACTAGATACTATAAAATTCTTCATTTTGTAGGATAAATGTAATTTAAAAATAATTTCTGGTTGGATCGACATCGTTAAATATAAAATAAAAATGTATTTATTCACGTCTTCCTAGTTGCAATTTTACTCGCCAATATAAAATCAAACATATTAAAATAACTATTGCAAAAAAAAGTAAATGTTCTTCATTTTACGAGTCCTTGCATTTTTATGAATCATGCCTAAAAATTTTATCATTAAAAATACACGTTTATTGCATTCGATAATACTGCATTTAATTAAGGTCACGTTATTAACAAGAAATTAACGATTATATTTATCGTTAATCGATTTATGGCTTTGAATGAATAAAGCGCTCTTTGAAGTCGAAATTACTTGTTCTACAATTGACGTAGGTGCGCAATGTATACTTATTGTGTAGGAGTCAATTATATACTATGTTTTCAAAGAAAACTTGATGACAGCTGTTAAGTACTGAATGGAACAAATGGCGAATGAACAAAACAATAGTCTACTCTCGTCCATTATTGTTGATTTGTGTTATTTTAATTCAAACGAGACACTATGAAATAAATTAAAGGAACAACACGTATTGCAATTAAAAATTAGTTATTACTACAATTAGTGATTCTACAATTTAATTAAAATAAATCTCCAGGTCATTTTTTTATCATAATTTTCTAGTTAGCTTTGATAATGATAAGGTTATATTTTTCCATTTTGACCATTTAAACGACACAAAAGTATAAAATATATAGGTCATTTTAAGATAAATTGAATGGTTAGTGTTACTCTGTATTTATGCTGATATACGGTTTAAATAAATAATAGTAATTGTATATTATAAGTAAAATATGTTATGACCAACAATGAATAATTTCGATCTAATATCAATTAAGCTAATCGTATTATTAAGAGAGAAATTAAGTTAAGTCTTCCAAACATTTTGTTTAAATTGCGCCTATTAACCGAATAGGTAAAATAATCAAGAAAAATTTTGTGAATATAATAACGTATAGCTCTGTATGAAGTATGTAAAATTAATAACAAGCATTGTTGCTGTATTAATGAGTTTGCATATATTGGTTTTTAAATAAATTATTATTTAAGTGTATAGAAGCAATTGCTAAAAGTATATTATTCTTATTAATAGTATATTAACGGGAACTTTGCAAAACTAATGCATTCAAATAATGAAAAATCCTCAATAGTTCAATTACTTAAAATTTTTCCGATTTCTCCATTTCACTAATTATAGTGGGTTATGATTAAAGCTCATTACCTAAATTTTCAAATAATTGTATTACTAATTATCAAATTATATTTAAACCAAAAATTAAAGTGTATGTTTTTATAGAGATTTATAGAATGGGAAAAACCTTTGCCACAAACAGACGATGGCGCCAACATTTTACAAAGCGGTTATTGCTACGAACATTTGGTACTCTGAATATCTGATACCAAAGGTACCACAACCATGACGTATAAGTCTCCGACATTAGAAATCCCACCACATCATGGTTTTTTTTTTTTTGGTTAATATCAAAATATCACAATTTTTAAACCGTAATCAGGTATTCGTTCTAATTACATTAGTCGTAGCATATTTTATAATATCAGAGTATACGAATGTCTGAGCATTATAAGTTTTCTTTTTCTTCATAGATAATACAAACTGTGTAGTATAAAACATTTATTTACATTCTTATCAACAAAATTACTGTAAATATGCAACTGATAAAAATTTTGTTATTTAATTATTATTTTTTTCTATTAACGAAATTTCTATTTAATAAACATTACAGTTAAATAAAAATAATTTAGTAAATTAATAGTTTTTAAATAATCTTAATATGAGTATTTTTTCATTATTTGAGCTTCCTCGCACAATACTAATAAATTCGTGACATTTTTGTCACTGACGCCTGTAAGGTAATTTTTCAGTTACAGACAACATTTTTAAATTTTTTTTTTACTCATCATTTTATTTAGATTTCTCTCGCAACAATGTGTCAAATTATGTTGAAATTTGTATAAAAAACATTCGAATTAAATTAGAAAATAACTATACTTCGTTGCTTTTAAAAACAAAAGCTTGATTAATTATTTATACATAGGTCAGATTTATTAATAAATTAAAAAACATTAAATTGAGTTATCAAAATCATATGGAAATCATTTCTGATGCAAAATTTCGGGTACTTAAACATTATGTACCGTACTAATTTATTGAAAATAATACTCCCAAAAGTCTTGATTAAAAATATATTATATTTTGTAGAGACATTGAAATATTCACACGGTCCACATTCGACTGTAATTAAATGTTCCCATTTAGGTAAATTATAAAACGTTTATGTCAGTACGAAACGCAACGTTTGTTGAACTGATCTC